AACAGACTGTATTACCAGACTGTATTACCAGACTGTATTAACAGACTGTATTACCAGACTGTATTAACAGACTGTACTGTACTGTATTACCAGACTGTATTACCTGTATTACCAGACTGTATTACCAGACTGTATTACCAGACTGTATTACCAGACTGTATTAACAGACTGTATTACCAGACCGTATTAACAGACCGTATTAACAGACCGTATTAACAGACCGTATTAACAGACCATATTAACAGACTGTATTAACAGACTGTATTAACAGACTGTATTACCAGACTGTATTACCAGACTGTATTACCAGACTGTATTAACAGACTGTATTAACAGACTGTATTACCATACTGTATTAACAGACTGTATTAACAGACTGTATTACCAGACTGTATTAACAGACTGTATTAACAGACTGTATTAACAGACTGTATTGGACGTAAACGCAAAATGGTGGAGAATTCATGTGATTGGCCCCACTGAAAATCAGTGGCTGGAATCCTTGTCTGTTTATGTCGTTGATTTCTCAGACACGCCACACATACGTCTCAAACGATGAAAGATGGGGGCCGACATCTTGTCAGCCCACAACACCCCATACTAAACAACTACCGGACACCTGCTCGATGCATCAAACCTTTTGCTTGAGCCATCGGTACGAAGGATTAATCATCCAAAGGCCTAACACTCTCACGTGTGTTGCTGAATGTGCAAAGGGTGCAGGAAGTAATTTCGCTCGGTCAAGGACAAACAAGAAATTCGGTGTTTGATTGGCTGAATACCACATATTTTTTTATTTGATAGTGGATCTGTCCACTGCCTTCATATCATGTCATATCATATCATATCTCACTCTTGACTAATCTTCCTGAAATTATTTATGTTAAAAGAGTATGATCGATTGTTGCTATGACGAATAGAATGGGACATTTGCCTTCGTATTTTTCTTTTTAGGTTTAGTTTTGATAACCCTTCACTAACACCAAAATAGCTGACAAATATGTACATGAACATTTGAGGAAGACGGGTCAAATTATGTTACGTGTCATGAGTGAGTGAGTATGTTTTTTTATGCCTCTTTAGCAATATTCCATAAATATCACGGCGGAGGACACCAGAAATGGGCTTCACACATTGTACCCATGTGTGAAAACGAACCCGGGTCTTCGGCGTGACGAGCAACGCTTTAACCACTAGGCTATCCTACCGCCCCATTACATGCCATGACAAGGCGCCAAATCAGATCGGTTTTGGAAACATAAGTGCTAACGCGTATATTTTCAGTTGAAAATCAGACATATGATAAAACCCGGTGATAGTATAGTTTCTTTTGTCCCTCAGTATATCTCATGATTCCTCAACTCATAAATCCCTGACTAAAGGTTTACATTACATAGTACATTGCTACAAGAAATTACATGATGATGGGAAGAACAAGATGATTATGGCTGCATCCGTTTGGGAAGTCCCGTTATCATCAGATTGTTATCTTGCAGAACACAGATATCTGTAGGCAATGGAGGTCGACGTGACAGCAGACATTCTGGCCTGACATGTAGTGTACTGCAGTTAACTGTCCATGATGGAGTTAATCGTGACATTTGCGCTTTAAAGTCGGTACATGTAGTTGGCAGCGTCATTAATAACCGGTTTAATGGGGTTTTCCCAGCCCTGACATGATACTTTCCCTCGTTATAACGCTTATATACAACTGTTGATAGGAAAGCCCTACCCTACTTAGGTTCCGATTATTTAGATGTTCTAAGACAGTGGGGCAACCTCGTTGTAAGAGCATGTGTTCGTCACGACGAAGACCGGGGTTCCACTCCCAAAAGTGGAAGCCCATTTCTGTGGTCCCTGATATCCTTGGCCTAAACAAACCTAAAAGCGGCAACAACACTCGCTCACTTTCAACGTTTATCTATACATTGTACGCAAGTCCGACAGTGTACACCCACTGATCCAGTCGCTGAATGTAATGATCAGAATTTATTAATTAGAGTAAGCAACATTCATCTTCAATAAGTCTACCCTCTGCTTCATGGCTCTCATTTGGGCCTCATTAGGGAATGTGTGCATACGGCGTATTCACTGAAATTTTAATGCAGTAGAATCATTCATTGTGATATAGGCTATAGGTTGACGGTTTGTCATGTCCAGAAGCTATGAATACACAATGCCATTTATATAGTGGTCAGATGTAACATATATTATATTTGGGATTACACTTTCTAAGTAAAGTACAGATTCCAGTACTTTTGTTGGGTTGAATCCCTTCCGGGATTTGAACCCATACCCTTAGAGTCTGGCACCTAATCGCCATCACGCAAAGTCTAACCCATTCTGTGGTGTAGACTACCAGTCAGAACATAAGAAAGGTACGATACTTTATTGATAACCTAGGCGGACCCAAAACTTTGTCGTCAACGTTTATTAAATGACCATTGAGACTCTCGTGAAACCCGGAGAAAATGAACTGTGTACCCCGCCACGCCGAAGACCCGGGTTGGAATCCCCACTTCTGGATTCCCCCGCCGTGATGTTGCTGGAATATTGCTAACAGCGGCTTAAAACCAAAACTCAGTCAGTCAGTCAGTGTACCCCGCCAATATCACGGCGTAGGACACCAGAAGTGGGTCCACGCATTGTATCCATGTGAGGAATCGAACCAGGGGGAGCCTACAGCCCGTCACTCAGAGGATTTTAGTGTGTATAAGCGTCTACACGTAGTTAGCTTTTGGCAGGTACGATATCCCTATACAACACAGGCAACTCAACACAGGTAACTCAACACAGGTAACTCAACACAGGTAACTCAGGTTCGATGTGTTTCACACAGCACTCTGGACAGCACAGTGTGTCAGACCTTGGTATAGTGGCGGTGTTAAAGCACAAACCCCGTGGACAGATATGGTACTAGTCTAGTGCATGGTGATGGAGGCTGCCAACACACCTGGTGTAACTTATCACCTCATTAGAAGTACCAACTGCTTTCATGGAACATGTATAATATCGGAAAGTAAGATTGTTTATGGATAACAACTTCTTTTATTATATATGATGCGACGTTTCGGTATGGATTCGTGTACCGTTGTCAAGCAAGAGTGAAGTACTACAGCACAGAACCGACTTATATACATGAACAGGGATTAAGTAATAACAACATGTTGGTATGAATCAAGGGGATTAACAACAACAACAAGGCACGGTGGTAATAATGTAGTGACAATAGGAGGAAGCTAATGGTCCTAGAGGCAGAAACAAAATTTTCCGGATTTGAACTGCTTCTGAAGTCATGGTGGATTTTCGATAATATCTCTACATTGTCCCAAATTATGTTGTGATTGGGACAGTTGATGATGTGGTCTGATAGTGCTGTAGAGATTGTGACTGTGGCGAGGCCTATGTAGGCGAAACCTCCCGGCCCATAAATATCAGAATCAAAGAACACTTATCATCTACCACTAAATCTGACAGAAAATCAGCACTATCAGACCACATCATCAACTGTCCCAATCACAACATAATTTGGGACAATGTAGAGATATTATCGAAAAACCACCAGGACTTCACCAAAAGAAAACTTGCAGAAGCAGTTCAAATCCGGAGACACAAGCCCTCAATCAACAGAGACCAGGGATATCTCATCCCTTCTGTATACAATGAACTGATAAAAACAACAGATTAGAGCACTCCAGCTATCATTGCAAATTAATCTCATCAGCCATGTATATTTTGTTTCTGCCTCTAGGACCATTGGCTTCCTCCTATTGTCACTACATTATTACCACCGTGCCTTGTTGTTGTTGTTAATCCCCTTGATTCATACCTACATGTTGTTATTACTTAATCCCTGTTCATGTATATAAGTCTGTTCTGTGCTGTAGTACTTCACTCTTGCTTGACAACGGTATAAGAATCCATACCGAAACGTCGCATCATATATAATAAAAGAAGTTGTTATCCATAAACAATCTTACTTTCTTATTAGTCACCAACTTCTAAATGCCAATCAAACAGATCATGTATAATATCGATCTGGTCCAATGAACCCAGATATGAATGCTAGACATACACCTCGTTCCACATGTACGGCTCAGGGAATCGTGTCACGGTGCCGCCTGTACTAACCCAGAATGTATTGAAACGTGAATAACGTGATGATTGAAAAACGTGGAGTACGTTCACAGCTCATTACTGTCGGCTCACTGCATTCAATAAAACATCAGACACCCAGTTTTATTTAGCAATTCTTTAATTTATTTGAACCGTTTTAAGTTAAAGTGTCATTCAATGTCATTCAACAAGAGTACAAACTCTGCACCTTGTAGTGATAGTAGTAGTAGTAGTGGTAGTGGTAGTAGTAGTGGTGAAATACACAATGCCATTTTTAGAAAGTGGTGTGTGTCTGTGTCTGTCTGTCTGTCTGTGTTTGCTTGCTTCGGTTCAACATGGATACCTCGCTGTGGAGCAGTATACTGACACAAAGCTAGCCAGTCCTTGTCTGATCCCCCAATCACCGTAATGCAGGCAGGGTGACATCAAGTGCCGTAGTTTCACGTGTTTGGGTATGACGCGACCGGGGATCGAACACCGTCCTTCCGCGGTCCGGACAGACGCTCTACCCACTACACCACGGTAGTCCTCAGTTATAGCTCCTTCTCCTAGTTACACAGTCCTCCTCTCCTGCGTAACATAGGGAGAGTACAGTGAAACAATGGGTGTGTTATGTCAGAATGGAACAAGACTGTGGTATTGTGTTCAAGGTTATGTGTTATACTTGAGGTACTTCCCTCCACTGTCAGCTCAGACTACATCGGTTTGAAACTTATCTACCTAATTCACCGAACCGCCATTACCTTGGATAAAGTTGTTTCCGCAAGATTTATCATTCAAACGCACACAATAATCAGAGTGACTGAAACCCCCTGACAAGCACCAGTGAACTTCATACATAGACGACCATGGGTTCAATTATTATATTTTCGCCTCATTACGTCACGAAATTGTGTTGGAGTCTCATGAAATATAAACTTGTCTTCCTATGACGACGAGAACTCCACACCAGTCAACCATGTTTCTATGCTAACAAATCCTAACGCACGTCGACCTCAGATGTAGCCCTACCTCTCGTCCAACCAACCGAGCAGACGTCAAGCGTTCGTTTCATTCAGGCAAAGGCCACTTGCGCGGGTCTGCTTGTATGGTAGTCTTTGCAAAACGGGCGTACAGTTTACTCGCAATGGCTAAATATCTCGTGGATTACCAGGCACCGGTATGGGCACAGAAGCTAAAAAATGTTCCAAAGCATAAGGTGGAGGTAAGTGAATAATTTCTGGTCCTTTTGATAGAATTAGTATGAGCCCATATTCGTTAAGATATGCGAGACTGACAGGGATCGATCGATATTATAAGTGAAAAACTGAGCCCAGCTACTACAACCAGCGCAGACATCGCCTCGTGGGTTCTGTCAATACTGCAACGTCTTCAGATGACACTCAGATAAGCCTTGGTCTGTCATAATCTTGCATGCTGACAGAACGATTCCTGGTGGCGTTCTTCCACACAATGATGTGTCAGTCAGCGCGTTCTTACTGCGAGATCTCGGCATGGGTTCAAGGTCCGAGCTGGTCACCTTAACCTTCCGGTTTTCGTAAGAGTTGACCAAATGGTCTTTTGAAGTCCACAGTTGGACCAGACTGTTTATGGGTCATCGTGCCCTGATGATGACCGTTTGTATACCCTATCAACCCCGGGTATATGTGGGTAGTTCACACCCTGTAACAAACAAGCTGCCGCTGTTAGAAAAAACCGGTTCTTTGTCACATTTTATGACAAAGCTGAATAAGGGAAAGTCGGGTGACAATTTGATACAAATACTATTCTTTAAAATGATGGAAACCATAGGTTTCGTCTGTTCTCCGTAAATGCTGTAAAACGTATACATCGTGGGGTCGAAAAGGGATTTGAACCGAAAAAAGCCTGACTTGTGTCTCAAACATATATCCCATCACATCCCTCCCCATCATACATACACATGGACACTCCCGTTATCAACCCTCGATATTGAGATATAATCGGAGAGATCTATTGTGATGTGCATAGTTAACGTTGAGATATGTTCACTTGTTCATCTAAAACAATATATACACTTGTATTCATTAGTTTGTAAACTGACATTCAAATTATTTGTACATCACAGGGTCTCAGAGGCCTTTCTTGTTAAAAATGTGATGTGACTTATAAATTATAGTATTACGCTGAAAACGTGTTTTGATCTACATAGTTACACAGTGGAAATGTGTAAAACAAACGCCAGGAAATAACAACTTATCATTTTCCGGCATGCATGACATCTGACTACAGCAGGCATGAAATATCCATTGTAATATGCCCCGGGCTCCCACAAATGACATGACGCAAATAGAACTGTTGAATTATTGTGTCAGTGGTAATGCCCACATCAGTTTTGTTGAGCTGTGTAATGGCGTTGTAGTGTGTTTGTTGTTGTTGTTGTGTGTGCGTGCGTGTGTGCGTGCGCGTGCGTGCGTGTGGAACCAATTTATCGAGCCTAGCCTGTGGTATTGCTTGAATACTGGTGGAAGAGCAACATCCGACACCTTCCAGTGTACTGTCAATGTACATGATTTCCCAAATGTTTTTTCTACATTTGCATTGCTATTTAAACGTTTGACAGATGCATTAAGCCCATACTTTAATATTTCAATTGTACCGACCTGCTAGGGAACAACGATAAGTATAGGTAACACGCTGCAGAACATGATGAATGGGGAAAGAGACATAACTTAGATTTTGTTCGAAATATACAACTCGATTGAACACAATGACATGGTCTCTTGCGATGTGGAATCCCGGTAATTTGGATGGCACTGTACCCATGGCAACCATCCATTACATTAATACGCACTAAATGTAGGATCACCATTATGGTAATGAATTCTAGAGTACCCAAGCCGCCTTGTTCAAAGCAAGAAGCGAAAACAAATCCCCAGTAGTGGACGGCCATAAACTGTTTGATGTTCTTAATGGAACCACAATGCACTGTGATTCAGGAGCGGGTAACACGGGCAACAATGTTTCGATTTCAGATAATTGAAACTTGGGCCAGATCTATAGGGATGTTTGTTGTAGATGAGTTGACTCAGTGGTGCATTCCCCAAACTGTGACAGCGCACCTGTCATAAAACCCACCCCACGACATTACACTGATTCTAACGAGAACTCTCACAGAGAGTCCCTCACCGGAAATGTGAAAAAACCTCCTCCATTTAGCAAAACGTGTATGACAAAGTGCCCTCCCCAACCCCCTTCCCCGCCTTTAATGGTGGGTCCCATACACAAACCATTGATCTTCCACAATGGCCGTGGCGTGAAAGCATCACACACAACGGGGACGGACGGGAGCTCAGCCATGCGTGTAAACTGTAAACAGAAACCAATTGGAGGGCTGGTCGGTCGCACATTGAGTCGAACACGAAAATCCATACACGACTAGATTCTATCTAACCACACTGATTCGCGCCTATTCACTACAAACCTGGGACCTTACATGGCAATACTCCGAGTATATTATATTCATAGACCTCGGGCCAGATACAAATGATTATATGGTATACACCCAAGGCACACAAGGCCCAGCTCAGCAATTCAGACGAAGCAGGCCTTTGACTTGCTCCCCTACCAGTCTCGACCCACCACCCCACTTAAACTAGCCTAGTGTATACATAATTAATAATAATAATGTGTCCATTTATATAGCGCCAAACTCCACACTAGGTATGCTCATAGCGCTAACAATCAAGGCCATTATTACCCCGGATAACCCAAGCTGCCTGTTAGGCGCTAGAAGGTTATAGTCATATGACTTTTTTCCACCGGGTACCCATTTTCCTGCTGGGTGAACAGAGACAATTTTGAACAAACTCACTTGCCTAAGGTGAGACCACATGTGTCACATGTGCTTCGTTGTGGGGCAGGACTCAAGTCCTAGAAACTCTCAGGAGTCAAGCTGCCAAACACGGTCACCCATCCAAGGACTCTCCGAGCTCGACGCTGCTTAACTTCACCGATTTGTGACCTGAGCTTTAAGCACAGGACCACGCGCCACAACCATTACAGATATTTTCATATCTTGATCATTATATGACCTTTCCTTTATTCACAATGAGATACACACAGTGACAATCGGAAAATGGCACTTCAGTGACAGTCTTGCAGTAACTGGATAAATTTGAAAAAATGGTGTTTACGCATGAGTAATTTGGTAAATACAGCCGTCTTAACTCCATATATTTAGACACACTATTAAGAGGGGGCACTCGTGCTATATATCAGTTTCACAAAATGATCACCAGTACTGGTCTGGTTGTAGACTGAGGTTAACCCATTTCCCCTTATAGTTGCCGAGGTATGGCCTTCTACAGACAGGTCACAAGAACTTTTGTTGCTGAGTATATGTTGAAATTTTGCTAAATGAAGTTATTTTATAGTTTTTATGTATAGCTTATATTTTGAAATTGTTATTTTATGCAGTAAGATGTGAAAATATAGAAAAAGGTCAAATGAAAATATACGACCAAATGTTACCAAACAGTCTGAGGAACAATACGCACGATTATAGTATCATATATGGAGGTGGAATTATCTTCTACGAAGAACATATCTTCCTAGCAGTAAACATCATAAACATAGATAATGAATGTATTTTAGACTCGGGAATTTATGCGCTTCCATAGCAACGTGCTCGGTGGCTCTGCTGCAACTAGCACTCATGAACCCTACAACACACGTGCACAATAAAACTGGTATACGCTTTAAGAGCTGCTGCTGCGATACGCCGCCTGTAAATGGGTTAGACACCGATACAGGCAGCTTCCTCCTGTACCGGCCTCTAGACGAACTGTATGTGTCTGTAGATGTGACACACAAAGGAGATCGAAGAATGTAATGTTTCCATGTCGCCTATTTCGATTAGAGAGTCGTTACACTTACAGAACAACCATACTTTATTAACGAGCTATTTTATTGGTTTTGCATGTGCTACTGTAGTGGACAGTATATTCTGTTTGTAGAGTCGTCACATTCGGAAATGTTTTAAATTCGATCTGTCAGGTATTAATTTTAAATGCAATACAATTCTACTAATACTGTTAAATGCAATAAGACCCTTGACGATCCGGGTTAGAATTTGTCTTCAGCTACACTATGCTTGTCGTAAGAGGCGACTAACGGCATCGGGTGGTCAGTACTTTTGGGGAGTTCAGTTCCATCCGGGATTCGAACCCACGCCACACTCAGCCACTGTGGCTTCAACAACTGACTTTGTGTGCTGGCGATAAGGTGCCTGACTCTGAGGGTTTGGGTTCGAATCCCGGATGGAACTCAACTCCAAAAAATACACTAAACGCCCAAAGAAACGTTACCCTACTGCCTAAATGACAGAGGTACCTATCTTCAGCTGGCATTGTGATGCGTGGACGACCACTTCTTAGTCTGTCTACGGTGACCCCAGTCTGTCTGAAGCCCTGAATAAATCTTATAACCGTGATACGGTGGCATCCGAGGGCGTTGGCAACAGCATTGTATGTCGACCCCATCTGCACCATCCCAATGGCTCTTTTTCTGTCTTCAGCTGTTACTCGTGGTATATTTCTCGTATCTGTGTATCATATCATGTATTCTAGGCTCTCTTCATACCCTATAGAATCATTCTACATGTGAAATGGATGCAAATACTGCTTGAATATTGCTGCGTTTTGGCGATTGATATTGCAGTGTGTAAACAGAGAATGGAAAAAATGTTACTTTGCAAGCAAAAATGTTAACAAAGATAATTTTAGATGTTCTAAACATTCTTTTCACAATATCAAAGACACGATTTCTCGAAACTGAGTTTGACAATTTGAAACAGCTGAATTTTTAACTCAACTGCTTTTTTAAGATAAAAAGCCCAAACAACTTAAGTAATCTATCCACAAAACTCAAATTGTGTACTACGTTTGAGTTGAATATCAATTTCAGTTCATTCTGGGAAATGCATTTTCTCAAGTTTGAGTAAAAACTCTAATTTAAGTCAAAACTCAGACTTAAGTTTGTTTCGAGAAATCGGGGCCTGATGTGGTGGACAGTCACTAAATGTCTGACAGTCACGCGCCTGCATGATGTTATCCAGGACAACGTTGACGTTTACCTCTGTGGCGACTCACAAGGTCGACAAGAGCGTGATTCATCTTCAGTGCTCTTTCCTCCTCTTGTAAAACAACCATTTATAACAGAACTATGTCAAGCAGAAAATCCCCT